TCATAATCGAATATAGAGAAATGTGACTTTCCAACTCCCACCCAGGTTGCAGGGAAGTTGTATGCAATCTAATACTTGCACTTCTTGGCTCTGTTGCGATGAACTTTATATTGTTACTCATTTTTTATTCCAATGCAAAAAAACAAAAAAAGAAGAAAAAAATGCTTAGATGATAAATGGAAATCACCGATTTAACTGAATCACCCTTTAAGTTGCCCTTTATTTTTCATAGGTTGAAGTTACATTATGCATCGTATGAACCAACTATAAGGGTTTTACATGAGAAGCACCACACTTTACTGAAGCAGAAAATGCTGACCTCCCTGCAAAGAGACAGAGAAATGAGGCAGGTAAGGAGACTGTCAGAGCTACCTCAACATAATCTGTAACCATTCATTTTCTTATATTATAGGTAGAATTACTGGTTTTGTTTCTGAGATAAATTGAAAAAGGTTCCCACCAATTGTCATGTTATAAAAAAGGTTCATTTGGAAACATTGAGGAAAAGCATTTTATCCACTTTAAACCTATAGAGATTATTATTTAATTAGATATTATTTAACTTAAACAAAGTTTTATAAGAAATTGTTGAAGCATAGTTAGAAGAAAAAATGCAGATCTGTTCAGACAAACTTGTGTTTAAACACCGACTTTGACATTTATAGACGTGGACTTCACGTAAACATTTTGAACTCAGATTTCTCACATAGAAAGTGTAGCCACAAGGATGTGCATTTTAATATTGTGTAAAACTTATATATAAGATGTTGACGAAAATCTCCCTGCAGTTTATCCCTCACTGAATATTTGGCACAGCTAGTTATTAATTCAATTTTCAGTCAGTTTTTGCTATTAACACTCTTTTCCATTCTTTGCTTAGGCCTAGGCCTAGGGTGATATTGAGGAACCTCTGGTGTAGAATTCGAGAAAAATAAAGCAAAAGCATTCATAACCCACATTAAATATATGTAACAGTTTATTAGAAAATGTAAAACTACAACTATGCTTAACATTCTTGTATTGTTTTCTGGAGATTCTCATTTTTAGCCAAATTTTCAGAATCTGCAAAAACTTTCACAATGGTTATACTCTTCTTTGAATTATTTTGTTGATAAGACATGCTTTAATCAAGTACATTTTGTCTTAAGTGTAATTTTTAGCTGGTAAAATGCAAAACATCACTTGTGTCTGTGCTTCTATTTTAATTTTGTATTTTTAAACATTTTATTAAATTTATTGGGGTGACATTGGTTAGTAAAATTATGTAGGTTTCAAGAGTACAATTCTATAATACACCATTGATATATCACAGTGTGTGCTCACCACCCAGAGTCCGTCCTCCTTCCATCACCATATATTTGACCCCCTTTACCTTCATCTACCACCCTCTCCCCGCTTACCCTCTGGTAACCACTAAACTGTTGCCTGTGTCTATGAGTTTTTGTTTGTCTTGTTCATTTGTTGCTTTCAGTTTTATATCCCACATATGAGTGAAGTCATATGGTTCTCGACTTTCTCTGTCTTACTTATTTTGCTTAGCATAATCTCAAAATCCATCCATGTTGACTCAAATGGCAGTATTTCACCTTTTCTTATGGCCAAGTAGTATTCCATTGCATATAAGAGTATGCACCACATCTTTTTTGTCAAATCATCTATCAAAGGACATTTTGGTTGTTTCCATATTTTGTATTCTAGAATGTCTGAATTGTATTATTAGTAATATTGCAAAAATTAGCCTAATAATAATTTACATTTTTATGGCATCTATGTCAGACCTTCAGAATTTCATCTCCTTTCTACTTTTCATTTAACCTGTCCCCCAGCCTCCCAACAAGAGGAACAACTCTACATTTTGGTGTACTGAGA